CCGAGCGCGCGGGCCCAGAGGAGGCTCCGGCAGCGCCCTGCAACATCAGCGTGCAACGGCAGATGCTGAGCTCGCTACTCGTGCGGTGGGGCCGCCCGCGGGGCTTGCAGTGCGACCTGCTGCTCTTCTCTACCAACGCGCACGGCCGCGCCTTCTTCGCAGCCGCCTTCCACCGCGTCGGGCCGCCGCTGCTCATCGAGCATCTGGGGCTGGCGGCCGGCGGCGCGCAGCAAGACCTGCGCTTGTGCGTGGGCTGCGGCTGGGTGCGTGGCCGCCTGCGGGCCCCAGCCGGGGCTCCCACAGCGCTGCCTGCCTACCCTGCGGCTGAACCCGGGCCGCTGTGGCTGCAGGGCGAACCTCGTCACTTCTGCTGCCTGGACTTCAGCCTGGAGGAGCTGCAGGGCGAGCCGGGCTGGCGGCTGAACCGCAAGCCCATCGAGTCAACGCTGGTGGCCTGCTTCATGACCCTGGTCATCGTGGTGTGGAGCGTGGCCGCCCTCATCTGGCCGGTGCCCATCATTGCCGGCTTCCTGCCCAACGGTATGGAGCAGCGCCGGACCACCGCCGGCGCCCCCGCGGCCGCTCCCGCCGCCGTACCTGCAGGGACCACCGCCGCCGCCGCCGCCGCTGCTGCTGCAGCTGCCGCCGCCGCGGCCGTGACCTCAGGAGTGGCCCCCAAGTGACCCCCGCTACCCTGCGTCCACGCTGTGTACGCGCTCGCACGCGCCTTCCTCGAGGGAGACGCGGCAGGGGCGCTTCGTACTGTCCTTAGTGTTCGTCCTTTTCCCGGGAGGGGACCGCGGAGAGGCCCCAACGAGGTGGGAAAGCGAGGTTTGTGCTGCGCTCCTGGTTCGGAAAAGCAGGGGCAAGCTCTCAGACTGAAGGGTGGGATCCACGCGTGGCTCGAGGACACAGGGAAAAGGCCCTTTCCCCTGCGGCACCCCCTCCCTGCGCCCACATGCCCTTTATTCATGGCAGAAAGTGACCTGATCCTGTGTATTTGTTTTATATATTTAATAACTGTTTTAAATGAAAGTTTTAGTAAAAAAAAATAACAAAACAAAAAGATTCCAATGCTATCGCTGTAGTAACAGGAGCTCTTTGTATTTGAACATAGTTGTACTTGAAGCTTCTTGGTTTGTTTTTTATTTATTTTAAAAAAGGGTGGGGGGAGGGCAAGGGAAGGATTTGACACGGATTTATTGTTATTGCTAAAAAAATAACTTTATGAATCTTTTTCAAGTCGATCTATTCAGTGACATGGCCTGGTGGGCGTTTCTTCTTGTATTAATGTGGTTTTCTGGCTTTTAATACAGACATTTTCCTCCAGAAATGTGTATGTTTCCTTTATTTGTTTTTGAAAAAGGGATCCACGATGCAAGTGAAACACGAAGAAATTCCTGAAAGGAGAGACGCCATCTGTCTCCCTGGCTGGGACAGGTGAAATCACTTTCAGAATGCTTCCAGTGGGAATTTCCTCTCGGCTCACTGACTCCCAAAATGCATGCACTTTTCCTAGGTTGCAGAGGCTCACAGCACTTAGCATAGTTTGTTTTTAACTTGGTGCTCCAGGAAAATCAATAGTTCTGTGAGCCAAGTGTCTTTCACAGAACCACCTCAGTGGGTGTGGTGTATATGTGTGTTTGTGTGTGTGTGTATGCACAGTCATGTGCCCACAAATGCACTCACTCCTACATGCACTTGTGTGGGGGAGTCAATGTCAAGTGTCTTCCCCAGTCACTCTCCACTTATTTTTTAATGTTGGCCTCTCACTGAACAGGAAGCTGGCACAACCCCGGGATCCTCCTGTCTCTGTCTTCCCAGTACTAAGATGACATGTATGCAGCACTAAGTCCAGCTTTCCACATGGATGCTGGGGATCTGAACGCAGGTCCTCATGCCTGAGTACCAGGCACTTCACTGAGCCATCTTCCCAGCCCTGGAAATGGCTGATTGAAGACATGTAGATTGCATCTTGATTGCTTAACTTAAGCAGATGGCATGTTTCAAATGCTAGTATCAAATTCTGAGAAGTTTAAAGGCTTTTGTTAAACCCTCTGGTCACCAGTTGCTAATCACAAGTGTTTCTTCACTCCTTGTTCTGTGGCAGTTTCAGATTCTTTGTGTTTTCAGCAGAACAAAAGTCCTTAAGCAGCTTAATATAAAAGTAAATGTAAGAAGATTTTAAGACAGATGTGGCATTTCACACCTGTAATCCCAGCACTTGGGAGGCTGACACAGTTGAAGGCTAGCCTCAGTTATATAATGAGACCCTGTCAAAAAAATAAAATAAAATAAAGATGCTTTCCCTTGTTCCATTTCATCCCTGCTTTTGAAATATTGAACTTGTTCTAGAGCTATAGTTCTCAAAATGTGGTCCCTGGGCCAATAATAATCAGCATCGACACACACACTCTTTTTCCAGAGAGCTTTAGCATCTTGCCTACAATCACACAGCTATATAAGACAGAACTGAGATGAAACCCAAGACTTCTGCCTCCTTGGTGTATTTTGTATTACTAGCAACTTCCTTTCCTAGGAGAATCCAAGCTAGCCACTCAAAGTCTGCTTTTCTGTTGACCTACCCCAGCCATTGGCTAATTTGCATAACTACAAACCCCCCAAAAAAGCCAGACTGCATTAAATAAGACAGTCAGCCACTTAATAGAACTCTAAATTATGTATGTAGTTGATTTACACATAAACAAGTGTGTAAGTTTATTATACCCAATAAATATATTTGAAAGATGGGCTTAAAATACCAACATCTGGGGCTGAAGAGATAGCCCAGTGATTAACAGCATTTGCTACTTTTTGAGAAAATCTGAGTTCCCAGCACCCATGTTGGTCTGACATACTCTTCTGGCCTCCCCAAGCACTCGCACAAATGTGGCACATACACACACATACAGATGTCTAAAATATTAAGATCTGAGGCTGGAGAAATGGCTCAGCGGTCAAGAGCACTCACTGTTCTTACAAAGGACCCAGATTCAATTCCCAGCACCCATATAACGGCTCACAACCATCTGTAACTCCAGTTCTGGGTTCTGACCACAGGCACCAGACATGCCCATTGTGTGCTGACATATTCAGGCAAAATATTCATTCACTATCAAATATAAATAAATCTAAAATGGGAAAGAATAAAGAACTGCTAGTGGAGACTAGAGAGAGAGGGAGGGAGGGAGAAAGAGTGTTGACGGACAAGCTGGTTCTCCTAGAGAATGAATGAGGACAGGGCCTGCAAGTCCCTCTGCGCTTTGAGTAGAAACCCACTGGGTAGAGGGGGTCAGGTCCTGGGAAATTCAGTGTGTGCTTTCCTCTAGTGGAATGTTTCTGTAGCTCCCAGATAGGAAAGGAGGTAATATCTCTGTAGCCTATGGACACATGAAGCTTGCCAATTCAGAGCTTCACAGTCTCCGGAGGACAGCTTGGGTTGCCAGTGGTATAACCACTGCTGTGTCCATAGGCCACTACATAGCTCTCTGTATTTACCACCAGAGCCACATAGGCTCCCAGTTAGCAGCACTGGTGTCCTCAGCTGAAGACAGTTACTAGGCTCCAAGTTACTCTACCCACCTCAGGTACCACCTCCAATGGGTGACCAACCTTAGGCATGGAGACCCAGCCCTTTACCTCCTGGTCCTGGATCCTCAAGACTGACTCCCCACAGCATTTCCACGGAGACTGCCCAGAGACTGGACTTCCACTCCTTCCCTTCATAGGTGATAACCCAAGGGCCTGACAAGCCTCCTGTGTGCTAATTTCTGTCTTCACGTGCTCCTGCTTCTAAAATCCAGTCTCAGCTGGCACTTGTCTTCATGACATGCAGGCCTCATGTACCCATGTTGTAATCAGGCATTCATTACTTTTCTCATGGCTGTGACCAAAACCTGACAAGCAGCAACCTGAGGAAGGGTCTATTTTGGTATAGTGGGAGGGATAGAGAGAGAAAAGGAGGGTGGTGGCAGATGCTAACAGCCCAGACTCCTCCAGGTCTACAGAGCCTTTAGCTAGACTTCATGGGTGCCTGGCGGAGCCTGTTCCATCCTCCCCATCATGACTCTCACTGCTGAATCTTCCGCAGCCTCCACTCCGACCTCTCCTGGGTTCTCCTCTTCAGATGGGTCTTTCCTAAGGGGTACCCGCTTCTCCCATCAGCAGCTCTGGAGTTTCCTTCTGTCTGTGGAGGACAGCAGAGGAGTTCTTGTGATGAGTGTTACACAAAGATTTATTCTGGCCAGGCGGTGGAGGTGCACTCCTTTAATCCCAGCACTTGGGAGGCAGAGGTAAGTGGATCTCTAAGTTCAAGGCCAGCGTGATCTACAGAGCAAGTTCCAAGGCAGCCAGCCGGGGCTACACAGAGAAACACTGTCTGGGGGGGAAAAAGATTATTACTTATTTTTTTAGTCAAGGCCTCTCTTGGTTACTTTTCTTGTCATTCTGAGGAAAACACCTGACAGAAGTGACTTACAATCAAATTTATTTTTAGCTCACAGGAGATTTCAGTCCATCGTGGTACGGAAAGTCATGGCCAACAGTTCTGTGGTGGCTGCTCATGTTGCATCAGGCAGGATGCAGATATGGAAGGGAACCATAACTGGGCTATATTTTCATACTCTCAGGACCTACTTCCATCAGTCAGGTCCCACCTCCTAAAAGCTCCATAATTTCCCCCAAACAGCACCACTGGCTGGGGACTAAGCATTCAAACATATAAGCTTGGGTAGGTGAGTGGGGCAGGCATTTCACATTCAACCCAGAAGAGTCTCATAAGTAGCCCAGGCTAAGCCGGGCGGTGGCGGTGGTGGCCCACGCCTTTAATCCCAGCACTCGGGAGGCAGAGCCAGGCGGATCTCTGTGAGTTCAAGGCCAGCCTGGGCTACCAAGTGAGTTCCAGGAAAGGCGCAAAGCTACACAGAGAAACCCTGTCTCGAAAAACCAAAAATAAAAAAAAAACACAAGTAGCCCAGGCTAACCTAGAACTGCTCCTTCAGCCTTAGCCTCCAGAGCACTGGAATTACAGGCATGTGCTATCAAACACAGTTTTAAATGGTCTATACCTGATGTGTAGGTCAGGCATCAGCCTCACAAGGGGCTGAAACTTATGGAAAGCCAAAGATCCAGGGGAAATGGAGAGGAGAGAATGAACGATCTTTCACATCCTTCATGTTTCATCAGCAGTCACATCAAACCAGGAGTGACTCCCCCTGCTCCTGCCAGAAGCTTTCACTTGTGAGATTTCAGATGAGGCTGATAAGGAACAGAACACAACTCTAGAGAATGAACAGTGTGATTCATCTCCTCAAGTAATAACCACGGAGAAGCTTGTATTGTCTGAGTTTATCTGATGTTGTGGGTATGAAAATGAATTCTGAGACACAATATGCAGGAGGGACATTGCATCCAAAGACCTGCCTCTGCTCCATCTGGCTGGGTAAAAGCTGTGGTTCTGGGACCCAGCTGTTGGGGTGGGTGCTGCAGGTGGGACATCCAGAACCTCACCTACAATAGGAGTGAGTTCAGGCCAGACTTGGGGATAACATAATGGATGGGACCCATTGTGGGTCCAAGATATTCACCACAATCCAGGTGTCATCTGTAATGGACCCTTACTGCTTCAGTTGTTTAGAGGTAGAATCTGAAAAGGAGAGTGTCCTATGTATAGAACAGGACTGTCAGGAGAAGGGGAGTGAAGGAAATAGGACCCTGCATGGATGGTGTGAATCAGAGCTGTCTCTCAGCTACTGTGGATTCCAGCCTAAGCATGGTTGGTGTCGCTTTCTTGCTATAAGTCAAGACCTTTTGCATTCTCAGTGGCCACACCTTCACCACTGTAGGGCCCTGCTCTCCAGAGAAAGGTGCACCTGAGGCCTGTTGGTAGCCTACAGTCCCCTTGCCTCTATAACAGGCATCTAGATGGACAGGGTTCTCACAGCACTCACTGTGGCCTCACATTGCTCTTATATGCTGTTCCCATCAGGACTGGGTGGGAGCCTGAGATTAGAAGCCAGGTTCAAAAGTGTTCTGTTGAAATGTCATCTCCCCATCTATCCAATCGCCAGCCTCAGGGGGTGATAGGCTTGCTCTGGGGTCCTACCCTGAGATTCAGCTGACCCTGTTATACCAGCTGTCCCCAGTGGCATCAGAAGCCCCTACCTTTTGCCTCCAGTAAAAGCCCTGGCTCTCCAATACTTGCTTGATAAAGGAAGCTCCACAGTATTTGGGGGTTTGCCAAAGCCACCAGCAGCCTGGTAATGACATGAGACACCAGGACACCTGCTCTGCACCTGCCTTGCCATTGATGAGCCAAGAGCAAAGCACTC